CGCAAACAAAAATTAACAAAATTTGTATGTGAGTTCGCCATTGTCCATTGACATTTCGGTTTGCAAACTATTCGAATTCGATAATGGTTCGTGTTAGGGGTACTGTACTACTTTTATCGCCCTGTGCGTATCCGTGGACACCTATTTATTTATTTACAATTAAGTTTTGATGTTTCACTTCTGCCAGGAGTCCCGCGTTAGCTTTTTTTATCGTATTTATGTTTAAGCTACGTACTTGTTAAATCTCATAAGCAAAGGTCACGTGGGTGTAATTAAAATTATTGTAAATGAGATAAAACGTACAAACATTTGGAGCCAGTCATGAAATATTTGAATGCGAAACACGAAAGCGTCGGTAGCCAACCCAACTTGACATTTATATCCTTTCGGATAAGTGTCACATTTGTTTTTATTTAAAACCGACAATTTACATATTAATTTTCATAAAATTTTAAAACCTTACACGTCGTATTTGGCTTTTCGCGTGGCTCAACCCGGCCATGATACAGAATAATAAAAATTTATGAGCCCTGTCTGTGTACTTTGAGATATAATGTTGAAAGGAATATCGGGACGGAATATATTTTTTGGTATGTTTAGGGTATCCTTAACAAAATGGTAACAAAGTTACTAATCTTCCTCTGTCTGCCCTTAAACTAATTCAAAAAGTACAATCCTATTCGAATTGACCTTTTTTTTTATAACGCAGTTAAAAAATCTTTTTACAGACGACGGCGCTTTAAGAGGCACACCACCGAACGGACCCCCCCAGTGGCTGACCACCGAGGACCCTGCAACTCTTACGGGCGCTTTACAGTATAATATCCGCTAAAAAGTCCTGCGAATACCTTCTTCACTGCTAAATGCGAAGCCGCGGGGTCCCCGTTAGGGATTCTACCACGGCTTCGAACCCAGCAGCTTCCCGGCCTCGCCGGGGCTCCACGGCAGGGGTCTCCCGAGGTATTGCGGGGATCTCGTAGACGTGCGCAGGTAGGCCCGCGCGTGGAGGCTGGGTACGCGGCCTAATGCCCACCGTACCACCCCCCATCCACTGCGGAGGGTACTCCTGGGCGTACCCGTCCAAGAACCCTCCGCCGCCCCCCCTTTGTAGGACAAAACTACGAGTCGGGTAGGGAGGCGTAATTCTTCCCGTTCCTCTCCCCCCTCCCGGTCGTCCAGGTCTCCTCGCGTCTTCTCCTAGGAGAAGAGGGGGGAAAGGCGGGCGACAGCATTCGTGGGGGGGGGGCGTCCGAGCGGCGGAAAAAAAATGTATTTTTTTAAATCAAAAATACAAATGTTTCCCACGAATAATATTTTGTAATATTACTTGTTTGGGTGTACAGGATGCGTAGTTTTAGTCTTTGTCATAGGTTGTTTTACACCCTGTATTATCATTACTTTGGATAGCTGAACTGATCAACAGAACTAATGATAATAAAGGATAGCCAGAGAGGGGTCCAGCAGGACGGCCATTGGTCCGGAGCCAATTATACCCATACCCTATCGGCAGCTGCGAACCTGGATAAGGGAGCACTCTCAACGGCAACACGACGAATACTGGTCAAAACTCACGGACTGCAGGTAAGCTAGGGAAGCCGTTCCTAAGGTAAACCTGCAGCTAACACGTAAGTTAATCAGACTACCTAGACAAGCCTTAAAACAAATCGTGGGTATACTCACGGGTCACGGCTACTTCAACAAACACCTTTGTAATATAGGTATTTCTGACAGCCATCTGTGCAGAGCCTGCCTGAAGGCGGATGAGACGAGCGCTCATGTCCTACTGGAGTAGGGGGCAGGGGGAAGCCCGAAGACAATAGTAGAGGCCTGCAGCAACATTCGGGGACTGCTGAGCTTTCTGGAGGAGATGGGATGGCAGGACTGACGCCAATCCCCATGCAAAATAGGCACTGGGTGTCGAGTTGTGGAAACAGCCCGCCGTACTACTAAAACTAAGACTGGGAATAAAGGATTTTATATGCCATGCCCTTAATAGTTGTCACGGGAATGGGATGAATGTCAACGGAGCATTAGACAAATCATTGTACTTACAGTCATAGCCCGTGTTCAGTACTTCGACATGAAACAGCGTGGTTCTGGTTCTCATTATTTTTCAACTGCATTTCTCGGTAAAACTGTACTTCCAGGGCCCAAAAGATGATACTTGTTTTTTTTGTTGAAAAGGTCATTTTTAACAGATTTTTTTTCTGGTCACAACACTAACCTAACCTAACCTAGTGTGAAGTATAACCACTTGGGCCCTGAAAGTACAGTTTAGCCCATTTCTCTCCTCATTGAATGGCTTCAGGTATCACCGATCGTTTTCGAAAGTTATCCGTCATTGTTGTTATATGTTTCCATTCGAATGAGCGGAACGCGCCCTGTAGCTCCATTCATCGGGCGCCAATACAGCTTCTCATTTTCATCTGTACACTACACAAACACAATGAGAGACGTTCGAGACGGTTTCATTTTAAGAAATATGGTGGAGAGATCACTTTTGTATTTGCACACTTATTGTTGGTGCTTTCGTCGAATTGTTGTCACAGATTTGCTACGCCAACACTACATTACAAAGATTAATAAAGCTTAGAGATAGATAGCTAGATAGTATAATATTTATATATTGTTTCAAACTTTCATGGTCACTAACATTATAGCTATTAACGGGATTGTTACCATGTACCTTGTTTTTTTATGAGTCTCTGATATTTCGGCACTGTTGCAAGCGCCATGATCACGGAGTAACTGAAGTAGTACTAATTGCGGGTAGATGTTATTGGCAGGCAAATCGGTCTTCCCTCTGACGTCGTCTTTTACTGCGCTCGATACCCCTACCACTGGGCACATTCTCACTATTCATAAAAAACAAGGTACATGGTAACAATCCCGTTAATATTTACATAAAGTATAATATTTACCTAAAATCATAGTAATCTAGTTTGAATCTGTTAAATACGTGATGTTCACGTCTTTTGTGTTTGTGCTCATAAGGGAATTGCTATGGGGCAGTAAAATTTGATTTCTCCAGTAGCTTGACTCTTAACATCAAGTGAAATTACGCGTAGTTCTTAGTCCACACTATAAGTAGCCTTTCTTGATGCTCTGAAAAAATATCTCGGTTTTTCGTCATCTCAGGAGTAGTAAAAAGGATGCCTAGATAATGGTAACTACGACTTAGTAAGAAGAAGGATTGTGTTTTTATAGATGACTAGTGGCCCGCCCTCGCTTCGCTCCGGGGTAGAATTGATCAAAATCCTTTCTTAGCGGATGCCTACGTCATAACATCTACCTGCATGCCAAATTTCAGCCCGATCCGTCCAGTGGTTTAGGCTGTGCGTTGATACTCGTAGATCACTATGTCAGTCAGTCACCTTTGAGTTATATATATATGTACTAGCGGCCCGCCCTCGCTTCGCTTCGATGTAGAGCTGAAGAGTAGACTACAGTTTTTGTTCTCAGGTTTGTATTATACACAATGACATTCATTTATGATTCTTCTTATACCTGCATGCAAAATCTCAGCCCGATCGGTTTAAAATTGACTTTCATACAAACTTTCGTTCCCTTTTTTATCCCCTTGGGGGTAGAATTGATCAAAATCCTTTCTTAGCGGATGCCTACGTCATAACATCTACCTGCATGCCAAATTTCAGCCCGATCCGTCCAGTGGTTTAGGCTGTGCGTTGATAGATCACTATGTCAGTCAGTCACCTTTGAGTTTTGTATATATAGATAAAGACAAACTTATACTTCGCCTCGTGATAGCTTGCCATGGGCTATAGTAAAATCCGTACTTACAGTGTATTGGGTCACAGTTTAGTTATAGGATTTAATTATTTATGTACTGTAAGGTAGTGCATAAATTTTTCCTTAGAAAGGCGTTCAATGCAAAAAATGTGAGCCGTCACGGGACACCTGGCAGATGTGAAACATGGACATTATTTTGCAAAAGTAATATGCAGAAAAGAACAGGTTGCGATAGGAACTAAATATGGCATAATGATAAAATAAAATATTAGGTTTTTTTTTCCAGAAAATGATGACTGTTTATTTAATAAAAAAATATTTTCATTAAAAACAAAAATCTAATTCGATTGCGCATGGCGACGAGTCGCACACCGTACTTACTACTGCATACAGACTGTATATATATACCACGCCAGAAATCGGTTTTACGTGTGCCTGTAAATGCCAAAAATCCTGTTTCACCATTTTATTGGAACGAAGTTCCTTACGGCAGGCTTGGACGATAGGGATTTTGCTGCGCGACCGAACTGAAAAAAATGTGATAGTAAAACCGTAAGAAAAACTCCGTGGAAAAAAATGCGTGGAATAAAACCGTTAAATGAGACGTGCGCAGGCGCGACAGTCGCATACACAAGCGAGTAGTGTATAATACCTTTCTCTTTCTCCCTCTTTCTTTTCGTTCTCTCATCCCTTCTCTTTCTATTACCACTCCACCCCACCAATGCATAGTATATACTCATGAATTCATGGACAAGCACGTGGCGAATACTCACATTATGGCAGGTATGGAGGGGATAGGGATTTTGCTGCACGACCGAACTGAAAAACATGTGATAGTAAAACCGTAAGAAAAAATCCGTGGCAAAAAGTGCGTGGAATAAAACCGTTAAATGAGACGTGCGCAGGCGCGACAATCGCATACACAAGCGAGTAGTGTATAATACCTTTCTCTTTCTCCCTCTTTCTTTTCGTTCTCTCATCCCTACATTAGCCGAAGGAACTTCGTTCCTACCGGTGTCCCACGACACCACATCATTTTTTTGTACCTTTTTTAAAACCTAAGATTTAGTAAGAATTCATGTATACCTAGTTGTTATCGTTCGCTGCGTGCTTCGGTGTCAAAATATCATAAACATCCTTAGTATTTACAAACACATGATTTAATTTATATTGTTTAAAATCGACAGTTATTGATTTGTATTAGAAGAAGCGACACGACCGGCGTACGTACGGCTATTGTTGCAGCAGTCATGAAATATTATCATCTAACTTTGATTGTGGCTCAAGTGGCAAGTTACAGTTTCCCAAAGAAGTTTTGCGATATAGAAACTGACAGTTTGACCAAGCAATGTTTCCTGAGAGAAACTTTAGTCTCATTGGCACACAGTCCAAATCAGCTTGCGGTTGATAGAACTACGAACACTCTTTACCTGAGCTTCGATTCTGGACAAGGAGAATACATACCGGCTATGATTAATATAGACACAAGAAAAGTGACTGTATTAAAAGGTGTTAAGGATGCATTCGCCATAGCGTACGATTCGATAGCGAAAGAAATATATTTTGGTGGCAGCCACGGTATTTACAACTATAATCCTGTTAAGAAGCTCTTGAGAAGATTGGCGATAGGGAACTTGGACATTTGGTGGTTGTTCGTGAAGGAAAATATTTACTTCATCAAATTCCCGACTTTGAAAGCTTTTCACTACCTGAATAGAACAATCAATTATGTAAATCGATTGCAATCTAAAACGATGCACCAGTTCGTTTTGGATAATGATGACAACATATTTTTTATAAACACCACTGGTTTGTACGGTGTCAGAAATAATAGCGACGAAGCTGTTCTGTTGAGGGATCATCCGAGATTTTTGGGGATGAGCTTGGATAACAAGGGGCAGCTGTACCTTTGTACCGATGAAGCCATATACGTTTTGAGTAAGATGGTGCAGAAAGTGAAACGATTGGTGAACATTCAAGGTGTGCTGGGTTTAACTTTTGATAAAAATAACAACATGATTTATTCTGATTCCCATGATGTTGTCCGGTTACTTGTAGTGTCCAACGATAGTTATTACGACGCTTTGAACAGTGTGTCTTTTTGACGTGTGATTTCATTCGGGTTTTTTTTTATATATAGATGTAGGCAAATGACCCTACCCCACCCGATGTTCAGTGGTAATAAAGTCCAAACGCGAAGATAGCTGGTACAGCAGTTATAAACTGCTACACCAATCATCCTCACCTTGCCGGCCTGCAAAAATGCTTCTTCACGCCTCTCTTAAAGGACCCCAGATTATAGGAAGGAGGGAACACTTGCGCGGGTAAAGAATTCCACTTACGAATAGTGCGACAAAGAAATGAGTCACCAAATTTCTTTGTTCGTGTAGGAATAGTGGCCACAGTAAGTCGGTGGCAACGTAGGCCAGCGCGCGTGGTCCTCTGAAGAAAAGGTGATGGAGGGATGCGGGAGAATAACTCCTCAGAACACTCTTTATTCGTCTTTTGATGGTTTGATTTTGTTGTGGTATTTTGCTTGTACGCGGTTTATTAAAATTTAGATTCATTCATTAGAAAGTGTTGAACATTGGTCTGTTGTATCAATAAAGTATTTACTTATATTAGAGTACTTTGCACCATTTTGGACATACTTCAAAATACTACCCATAAAAGTCATAGTGATTGAATGCCATAATTGAGACACCAGGTTGAATTTTTAATTTCGATCATATCTTTTAAGTTATCTATACTTATTTGATTTGCTTTTCTTTTTGTATTGAATAGGCTCCGAAACTGCAGGACCGATTTAGAAAATTCTTTCACATCAAGAATTCTACATTATCCATGATAAACATAGGCTTTACAGTATTTAAAAAAAAAATGGGTTCCATATGAAAACTTCGATAATATAACCCAATGTGTGTAAAAAATACCAAAAATAACATGATATCGCGTATACTGCGGATGTGCGCAGTGATGTACTAAAGTTTTATAGAGGACACCAATATTTACAGAAAAGTCTGCGTTACCATAGGTCTAACTAATACAGTTATGATTTTATTTTTAAGCATTTAACTGTTAGATGTTTAAATCTAAAGAAAAGTTTACTAGAAAAAATCCACGCGGACCAGGCATACAATACATTGGCATACATTGTGGGTTACCTACAATGCGAAGAGATGGCGCTGCCTTGCAGCTTAAGGCTAGGAAAATTTCGACGCGGCTAATAGGGCCGTGGTAGCATAATGGTCAGTGCATTCGCCCGGATAGCGAAGGATGCAGGTTCGAGTCCCGTCCGCTGCCTGGTCCGCGTGGATTTTTTTCTAGTAAACTTTTCTTTAGATTTAATACAGTTATGTTATAAACTAAAGGTTGCAGTTTTACCCGCGTTGATTTGAGGAAAAAGGTTATAGTGACTCAAACTTAAAAGCTGGACATATGCTGTCGCGGACTTTTTATAGAACTTTTGAAGGGAAACAATTCCGTCATACATGCTCTTTCTGTAACTTTGACCGTTTACCCAGCGAACTCAACGGAAGCTCACAAATGGAATATCTTTTCCCCGTTTTTGCAACATTTTTCATCGATGCTCCGCTCCTAATGTTCGAATCGTGATGTTATATAGCCTATAGCCATAATTGATAAATACACTATCCAACAAAAAATAAGATTTTTTTAAATCGTAACGGCAGATCAATGGTGCATTCAGTACAACAGGTCCTAAACTACGCAACATTTTTTTTACTTGGAATGGATGTTTTATTAGTATTATTATGAAGTAAGTCATTGTGTATAATACAAGCCTGAGAACAAAAACTAAAGTCTACACTATAGCTCTACACCGAAACGAAGCGAGGGCGGGCCACTAAGTCGTACAATTTAATTTAATTAATTAATTTTGAAGCAGAAAAAACTATACACTACGTCTTTGATTGAGTCATTCGTATCCACAGGTTGAATCCAAAGGTTGCTCAAGTATTTTAAAAATACAAAGAACAAGATAATTTATTAACCTAACCTAAGAACTAACTAAAAATGGCATCTAGTTAATTTATCTGCGTAGAAGTAGGAGCGAAAGTTATACCAGAAAATCTCTCTATATCCTTCTTAAAGACCTGTCGAGAGCCTGTCGAGAACTACAGTAAGTTCAATTTTGGAACGTAACTAAGGCTGCACTAACAGGCTCCTATCGAACTAGATTTGATAGGAGCCTGTTAGTCAGCGTCCATACATGTTTGGCCTAAAGACAAATAATCATGAAAAATTGTTTCCTAGAGTCGAAATTATAAATAAATTACTGTAGAAACGAATATTATTGACGGACACCCCTGAGAACTTCTATAAACCATATACACTGAATGATTTTGAGGTTATGTTTGCAAATAAGAACATTGGTATTAAAATAATAAACAACAAATAAGTTATATAGTAAACTAGGGAAATCAAGCCAAGTACCGAAATTACGTATTATATTCAGGTATATAGAGTATGTAGATTAACAGATAGTTGCCTGTTTATAAAGTTTGCACAAGAGTAATTTTTAAAATCAGGTATCATCTATGCATTTCCGGTTATAATAAGGTACTCTGTGACAGAAACTGTGTGACGATTGTGAATGAGCCACAGATTAGAGAGAAACTCTCGTTAATTTAGTTAGTTAAGCTTCATTATTTTGTTATGTTTGTATTATAACCATATTTTAGATTTTTATTGTATCACACCTTATAATGTGTTATGGAGGTGTTTGGCGAAAAATGAATTGCAATAGACTTTATGATGGCGCCTACCATCTTTAATAATAATTATCTTAGCACATTTGCATGTAGTGAAAATGGTAATATAATTGTGGATATTAATACCACAGTCTAATAAAAAAAAAAATCGAAGAAAAATTTTATCAATCTTTACAAAATAGATTTGTTTTGATGTTATATAAACAACTTCGATCAGTCTTTGGCTGAATGTTACTGCACCCATAGCCATTAAAAATGATTCGTATGTTTTCCAAACCGGTAAAATTAAAAGTCCTTTTTAACATGAATATATTATACAAAGGTGTCCCTTAAAATCTAATGACTGTAAAATAAAGTATAAATTACGCCAAGAATTACCGTATATGTCAATATTTTTTGTATATTTGGGCCAATTTGAGCAATCTCCTTTGGCTAGGAAGGGCGAGCACCTCGAGCATTAATTGTGAGCGTTGATGCGCATCTCAAAGGGGGCCTCCTTAAACCCACACTTGGGTCGCAAGTCTCGGGAAATGCTCAGAGTTTCTCTCTCTCCCACACGATGGACCCAGCACCCGCACGGTGAAATCATGGATTGCTAAGTCGTCGTGTCGTTGTGTTCCCTAAAAATGGTTGAACGAAGCGATGGCTGGTTCATGCGTCATGCTCGTGAACGGGTGCTGCCAGCGGAGATGAGTCTGCTCTTGCTTCATTGGATACTATTAATCGTTGTACTAAACTTGAATCGTTCATTTTTTTGCCAAAACAGCAGGACACGGCATTCCGAAACTTTGTTAAACCAGTTTTTTTATATAGTCATAATTTTTATATTATTTGCATTTGTAATGGAAAGTGACTTTATGAGTTACCGCATATTGAAGTCATTTTTCAATTTGACGACTCTGTATACAATACAGGGAGAGAAAAACAGCCCTTGCTGAGTTTCTTGCCGGTTCTTCTCAGTACAAGGTCTCAAGCCGTAGATTTGCGAACCGATGGCGTAGCTATTCGACATTCACAAGTGCTTGTAACAGCCTAGACTGAATAAACGATATTGAATTTTGAATTTTAAGAAATTCGTCTCAAAATATATTTTGTAATGAAATCTTCAAGTCTTATCATTCGTTAGCAGAATTTATATTCCTTAAAGTAATAAAACGCTATGCGTCACTGAAACGTGTTTAATATTTGACATCTTCATTAGAATCAGCAATGCAATCTTCAACTTTATGCTACAAAAGTTAAGGCGTATAATCCTCCTTCGGCCGAGCGTTGGCTGAAACAAAATTAATACCAGTGAAACAAATTAATTACCAACACTGACCGTATTCAATTAATCAACGTATTCTGAGCAGTCCACAGCGTCTGCGTCGCTTTTGATCAACTTGGGCTTCTTAATGCGCCAACATTATCAATTAGAGATGAAAAACAGACGGTAGCCAGCCATAACGCATTAAGGAAATGCATTATTTTTTTTGTGCCCCGTGTGTAATGGAATTAAATGGTAACGAATTTCCTCTTTTCTTCCCTGTTGTTGGAATCTCTTATCTATTAGACAAGTCCGTCCGTCTGTCTGTGGTGCTGTTTCAGCGGCCAAACCGTAAGAGATAGTTAAAGAGAATATTTAAGTTATAAGTTAAGAATAGTCTGATAAGACTACAAACCGGATTTGAGTAACGTAGCACTTTCGGTTTTCGAGAAATCAGGTTTTGGTGAACATTTGGTTCACTGGTTTGCTAGTATTGGATAATGGATTAAGATTTTTTTGTTTTATTAGATGACTAGTGGCCCGCCCTCGCTTCGCTTCGGTGTAGAGCTGTAGTGTAAACTAAAATGACTCTTCATATTATTGTAAAAGAACTGAAAATGGTATATTTGCCTTTTCTAAACTTCTATTGACATCACGTCACTCAATTGTTTTGCCTTCCCGGAACCTCTCCACTAACATTTGAAATTTATGGTATGGTATTAAAGTTCAAATTGACTTTTAAGTATTATTACGAATCGTTTGTATGGGAGTATAGAAAAGTGTAGTTTTTGGACTTTTTCAGCCATTTTTTTTTTATTTTTCTCTGCGTAAGAACCATCCTCGTACTTCAAGGAATATTCTAAAAAAATAATTATCGAAACCTGTTCAGCTGTTCTCGAGATTTGCGCTGAGCAACAGATTCAGCGATTCATTTTTATATTATAGATATTTTGCAAGAGGTAAAGGTTTTTCTAGTTAGATGTTGCAATGAAAAATGAAGTAAGTAATTCTTCCAAGATAGGCTTCAGTGCACGAATACCGTGTGCCTCAGGAATGGGGTCATTTAACTGTGGCCAACGAAAGATTGCGATCCTGACAGGTCGTAACAGTTCCTTATGACGATAGAATTAGAGTTTATTATCGGACCTCAATTTTGTAATTAAAATACAGCCAACGAGAAGAGATACAAAATATAAACAAAGTCGATGAAAGGTTAATGACCTTTCAGAGATTGGTAACGTTTTTGAAAAGATCATTTTTTTATGAAACAATTACAATTGATTACTAACATTCGAAACAACTATGAAAAAAACGAAAAAGAAAAAGAACATTAATTCAAATTATCAAAACCTAATATCAAAACAGTACAGAAACCAAAAAAATAGTTATTACCACGACCACGTGACATGACTTAACGAGACTTAATGTCACTTATATAGGTGAAAAAGATAGTTATTAGACTGTCAGTCACATATGGCAGAACTACATTTCTGTCTGTTGTATTGTGATGAATCAGAGAGCTATCTGTTACATACATTTACTGTGGTTAGACTGAGAACGCTGTCTACACATCGCGACAGATCGCAATACACAAGAGTAGTTCTAACCGTACTAAATGTATACATTTAGTAAATGTGTGAAACCGATCGTGTCAGATCGCGATCATAAAACAACACGTATAGCTCTCAAATTCAAATTCAAATATTTTTTATTGCGAATACAGGTTATTGTGTTGTGTACAAGTATACAAATTATATTATGTTCAGCCATATTCTGTCTTGTTGACATACAATGTTATTACATTTAGTTCACTATTAATTACATTATTCTAACAATGTCAATGAAGTACTTATTAATCTAAATTGAAATTATGATTTGATAAATGAGATCTGCCTATAGTGTCGTCTAAGGTGAATGAACTTTTGTATCTCTTCTCGTTGGCCGACCTTTAGATTGAAAGTGTACTTTATTAAATTAGGCAACGCTTACTTTGATTGCGTTTTCGTACGAATTTTACTCATGCATACACTTACGAACGTGCATAAGTGATCCCAACCTCCCCAACAACCTTGGTTGCGGGCGTGGAGCGCGGCCCTGGGCTGCGTTCCTTGCGCGCGCCACGTGTGCGGCTGGTGTCGGACTTGGCATGGTTCTCGTTCATCACTATGTTAGGACTTGAGCTGGGGGTGGGGAGTTGCATTTTGCGTGTGGGTGCTGAGCGCGGCCTCGTCTGTTTTATTTTTATTTGTAAAAATTAAGAGGGGGCGCTGCCAGAATATCAGTGCTGCTGCGGCCTTGTGCCAAGAGTCGTAGCAGCTTAGGCTGAGGCAGTGACCTACATTGGCCTTTCCTTTTTATTTTGTATTATATCTTTTTCACCTTATTATTGATTTTCTATTTATTTATTCAATGTATGTTGTTCTGTAAATGTTTTTAGGCCAATAAACATTTTTCTTTCTTTTCTTTCTTTCTTTCAACCTTCTACATACTATTATAAAGGAGTGCACATTCTGGGCGCTAGTTACTCGTACGATGACGTACGTTAAAGTTGCGACCTCCTAAATTGGCCGCACTCACTTTGGATGCATTTTCTTACGAATTTTGCTTTTACACATATGAACGACGTATGAACCTGAAACTATAATTGATATCAACTCAACTCAAAAATCATTTATTCAGTCTAGGCAAGCACTTGTGAAGGTCAAGAAGCTACGCCATTGGTTTAAAACACTATGGCGGGAGACCTTGTACTGAGAAGAACCGACAAGAAACTCAGCAAGGGCAGTTTTTTTTCTTCCTGCATTATTATATACAGAGTCGTCAAGTTTAGAAATTACTTCAGATCTACTTTTGAAAAAGTCTCCTTCCATTAAATCATACAGAATATACGAGATTTAAAGCTACAATAAGGTTTATAGGTAACTTTACATTTTTAAGATGCACCATTAGATAGCATATTACATCCACTAATTCTACAGGCTAGTCATTTATTTTATTTTTACTAGCGACCCGCCCTCGCTTCGTTTCGGTGTAGAGCTGAAGTGTTGACTACAGTTTTTCTTCTCAGGCTTGTATTATATACAATGACATTCATCTATGATTCTTCTTATACCTGCATGCAAAGTCTCAGCCCTATCGGTTTAAAATTGACAAAGTTTCATACAAACTTTCATTCCCTATTTTAT